GTATCAAGTTGACATAAGACTAGCCTGTACAGGAACACATATGTACTTTGTTTTGTTTTGCTTTTTTGAGACCAGTCCCTCTATTATGTAGCTATGGCTTTCCTGGCCATATGTACTTCAGCATTTCAGTTCAGTTGTATAACCCAAAAATCTATTCTCAGCCTTCCAGAATCTTCCAGCTATTGACTTTTATGTTTCTAAGAGATGTCATAGGACCCAGGTTCTTAGGAAACAGGCCTGGAATCTGACAGTTTATTTTAAGAACATTAACTTATTGGAGTACATAACAATAAAACAACTTTTAAGTTTTTAAAGTTTTTTTGTCTTCTTTTCTGAGGCAGGATCTTGTTCATACAGCCTAAGCTGGCCTTAGAGTGCTATGATTATGGGCATGTACCACCATGCCTGGTCAGTAAAGCCTTTTCAAAGCATCCATTCATTATGCTAGGTGTGGTGGCACAAACTTGTAATTCCAGCACTTAGAGTAGAAGCAGGAGGATCAGAAGTTCAAGACTATTTTGGGCTATATAGTGAGTCTAGTACCAGCCTGGGCTACAAGAAACAAAAGATAGACAGACAGCATCCACTATTGCTAAGCAGGGTGTCTTACCCTGGAACCCCACCATCAAGGAGGCCAGCCTGGGCTACAGAGTGAGAACTTGTCTTGAAATACCAGAAATAAATTCATTATTGGTTAGGCATGTGGTGGCACACGTGTGGTGCCAGTACTGGGGTAGTGGAGGTAGGAGAGTCACAAGGTCAAGGCCAACCTGGTACAGTACGGTATATAGTAAGAGCTTGGTCTCAAAAACAACAAAACAAGAAATCAGTTATTCAGATAAGACAGTGCTTCCTGGACTGGGAGCATAGCCCCGTACAGGAGAGCATCCCCAGCTCTGGGGGGAGTGCTTACCTAGCACGCTCAGGTCCTGGGCTTTGACCTCAGCACTGTGGAAAGGATGCATGGTGGGTCACACCTGTCATCCAAGCACCAGGGAGGAGACAACAGGAAGATGAAAAGTTCACAGTCATCATTAGCTATAGCAAGTTCCAGGCCAGCCTAAGCTACATGAACTCTTGTCTCAAAAGAAAGACAAAGATTTAAAAAGTACTAAAGATAATAATAAATCCTTAAAGAAAAAAAAAAACCTATTCAGGCATGGCACATGCCTTTAATCCCACCACCTGGGGAGGCAGAAATGGGCAATCTTGAGTTTGAGGCCAGCATAATCTACAGAGTGAGTTCCAGGACAGCCGGGGCTACACAGAGTTTCTGTCTTAACAACAGAGAGATCTTAACTCTCCTGTATGATTTCCTGGCTTAATCTGCATTGCCACAAAATGACAAATGAATAGGCCACTTCTCAGGAGTAAACTGGGAAGCAGGAGCACTTAGAGGAAACTTGTACAGGTGATTACCATTGGGCATGTCCCAGACAGGCACAGCTAACTAAGAACAGCCTATGTTTTGATAGCAGCTTCTATCCCACACTGGGTAGAAGAGGATATAGCCCACCCTCTGTAGAGCCATACTGCTCAGTCAGCCAGCGAGGTAGCCAAGAGGCAGAGGTCCTGTCAGCAGAGGCTTTGTTAGGCAGAGGAGGGGCTGTCAACTAGCCCTGGCAGTTTTCCCTGCTCCTCCTTGAGCCATGGGGTCTTGGAAGCTTGGCCTACCCACAGCCTTGGGAGCCCCAGATCCCTGTTTGGCAGCCTCTTCCTCTTCTCAGAGACAATGAGGTCCTGGACCCCACCCCTATGGAACTGGAGGCCCTGCAGTTGCCTGAGGCAGACTTGCAAGTGCTCAACTTGGAGCCACCAGTGTCCCCACCCAATCAAGTGGTGAGTAGACAGAGGAGAGGAGGGCTGACCAAGAACCTGCAGAGAGAAGGGCGGAGCTTGCTGGGTGGGTGCACCTGCTGAGCCAAGTGCTGCAGTTTAGAGGACATTGCAGTGGCCCCTGGCAGGCTGCTGCTTCAGTAAGACCCAGTAGCATGCCCTAGGTACTCAGGAAGGATCCCAAAGTCAAGGCTTGCTTGTGTTATGCAATGAGACCCTGTCTTCGAGTGAAAAATAACAGAGAACTAGGGAATCCGCAGCTCAGAGGTAGATGCTTCCCCAGGCTGGGTGTGGGGTCCGAAAGCAACACCAACCAGGGCTGGAAGGGAGGGAGGGACTGCTGATCACCTGGAGGAGGCTGAGTTAGGGGTCCTTATCAGGTGGAAGAATGAGACCAGAGCTCACCAGGTGGGATGCTGTTTCTTAAAGCTACAGGTGGTAGGTGGCCTTGGAAGGAGGGGAGGATGTAGAGAGCAGGCCAGAGGCCTGTGGGTAAAGCCAGATTTGTCTGAAGCACTGTGGGATTGGGAGGGACACAATCAAGTTCTGATGCCAGCCCTTCAGTGCCCGTGTTGACTGTCCCAGAACCTACTAGGTTACCAGAGAGAAGGCCAGGGGAAGGGTGTGCAGGACTGAGCCCAGTGGTGGTCCCAAACTCGATCCCCACCTACAGGCAGAAGTGGCCGGCCCAGCAGCTGTCCCTGCAGCAGAGGCTGAGACCGTCATGACGCTGCGGGAGCTCCAGGAAGCCCTGGAGGAGGAGGTTCTCACCCGGCAGAGCCTGAGCCGCGAGCTGGAAGCCATCCGCACTGCCAACCAGAACTTCTCCAGGTTGGAGTCAGAGTGCGGGGTGCCAGCAACCTTCCCAGTCCTTCACCCTATGGGCTGGCTTACCTTCCTGTTTTCCTGCAGCCAATTGCAGGAGGCCGAAGTCCGGAACCGAGACCTGGAGGCTCACGTTCGGCAGCTGCAAGAGCGGATGGAGATGCTGCAGCCTCCGGGAGCCCCAGGCGAGTCCCTCACACACCCCAGGCCAGGAGGGCACCGGGTGAAGATGGGGGCGTGCTGGGTGTGTGGACACTTGGGACAGGGGAGGGTCCCAGGCTGGGGCACGCCGAGCCACCGCCCTTTTCCGCCCTCCACGCTCCATACACCTCTCTTCTCCTTCCAGCTGTCATGGGGGTCCCCAGTCCCTGGGCCATGGATCCACCTTCCCATGTAAGACCCCTTTCTTCCCCATCCCCACTCAGATCTGCCCATCTCCCCGTCCACATTAGGGCTCGCTCTCTTTGGGGGCTCCAGAAGGAAGATACCCTTCACTCAGTCTGCCATCTACCAGCTCTCCCTTGTTTCAGGCCCTTTGCCAAATCTTCCCCAAAGGAATTTCCTAGATTCCCGTTCTTGCCTTGACTCCCTATACTGCCTCTTGCCCTGCTGCTGAAGGCGGCCGGCCGGGCTGGGCTCCGATCGGGTCACCTGTCCCTTCTCTCTCCAGCTAGATGGCCCCCCGGCCGTGGCTCTGGGCCAATGCCCGCTGGTGGGGCCAGGCCCCGTGCACCGCCGTCACCTGCTGCTCCCTGCCAGGGTATGTCCCAAGTCCTCCCATCACGGGCTTTTGCCTCGCTCCGCCCACTGAGTGTCATCACTGCTTTGCTGTGCCCCTGTGGAGCTCGGCCGCTGCAGGGAGGGAGGGTGATCGGGCGGCCAATCAACACAAGCCGCTACGAAGTAGCCAATGATGAGTTCTGAAGGGAGCTCAGGCTTGCGAGCAGTCAACTGTAACTGTGGGCTGTGGGGCATCAGGGATGCGCTCAGAGGATTCTTGGCCCATCTATGGGTACAGGCTGGGCTGCTCCCTGGAGCCAGTTGCTAATCCTGCCCTCTTGCCTGCAGCTCCTTAGGTCTGGCCTATCCGAGGCGCGTTGCCTGCTCCTGTTCGCCGTTGCTCTGGCTGCTGCCGCCACACTGGGCTGCACTGGGTTGGTGGCCTATACCCCAATCTGGTGTTTCCCGGGAGCCACCTTCGCCCCCTGAACCCTAAGACTCCAAGCCATCTTTCATCTAGGCCCCCCTGGAAAGCCGGGTGACCTGGGAACGGCCCAGAGCGTCTCTGTGCCCATCCTCCCTCCCCCTCCAGCCACCCCACTCTACACTTCTGCGAGCCTGTGACCCCACCCGGCTCCGCTCCTGTGATCCGGGCCTGCCCCCTGGCGGCCGGGGAGGGAGGAGCAGGACCCCGTGCGCAGGAACCCGGTTCCTGCAGGGCAGGCGGCTTGAATGCTGCTGCTACTGCCAGGACATTCGCCGACCACTTTACTCAGGCCCGACGTGGATAGGCAAACGGCTCAGCCCATCCGATTTCACTTTTCACGCTTCCAGCCACTGGTCACAAACCATAAATCCTTGTTTATGAGCCCCTGATCTCTGGGGAGGTCCCAGTCCCATAGCAAATGATCAGCACAACCTCTATCTTTCATGGGAGCCTCTGGCTTTGAACAGCCCCGCTCCTAGGGATGCTGCGACGACCCCTTCCTCACATATGCTGCCGTTGGAGCCACTGCTGCACACCCCCTCCCCCAAGGCAGTGTGGGTATTTATTGACCTTGTCCTCTGACTCACTGACAGACTCCGGGACCCACGTTTTGGATGCACTGAGACTCTACATTCCTCGGTATTTATTGTCTGTCCCCACCTATAAACCCACTCCCGACCCTTGAGAATAAAATACTTTCTGGTCTGCCCTGAGCTCCGCGAAGTCCCTGCTGTGGGGAGGAAGCCTCCGGTAGGCCAATAGAGAGACCCGTAGACACAACCAATAGCTTGATTCGGAGCTAGTGGGACGCAAAGCGAACGAATAGAGATGAAGGGCGGAGCTTAGGCATCCAGCCAGTAGGAGAGGAGCAACAAGCCATCGGAGACACCACCGCCCCCGCCCAGCTGTGACCCAGCTGTGCTACTCAAGCTTGGAAAAGTAGGGGGCTGGGCCAGCAGGGCGCCCACTGCCATCCTCCCATCGCGCCTGCGCAAGCCACGCGCATCCGCTCCTAAGACCGACGCTTCAGAAAAGTTGCTGAAAACTTTCTAGCGCTTTTCTCCCGCCCCGCCTCCCTGCCAGATCCGCCCCCTCCCCGCGGGGCCGGGAATTCCGAGGGGCGGAGCGGGGCGCGGAGATAGGGAGAGGGCCTTCTAGGGACCCGGGAGATCGAAGCGGCTTCGCGCCCTTAACCTTGCTGGACGGCCCACTACCTTCTCCGTTGCCCTGATGGGGAAACTGAGGCCCTGAGCCAGAGGCACACGCAGGGGAAGGCCGAAAGCGCGGCCAGAGGCGCAGGGAAAACAAAGAATTCCGACAGCCAGGGAGGGGGGTGGACACACAGACACAGGGACAGACCCGAGTGCAGAGCTGAGTCTAGCCTTTGGGCCGGGAGAGGGCCAGAAGACCGCGAGGGGACTGGGGAGGCGAGGACGACTGAGCGGGGGAGGGGGCTGGGGAAGCCCGCAGGAGGCGGCAGAGGAGGGAGGAACTTCCCAAAGTTGCCAAACATGGCTACCTCGCCTGCCGAGCCGAGCACGGGGCCGGCAGCCGCGGGGGAGGCAGCGGCTGCGACCGAGGAAGAGGAGGAGGAAGCGCGCCAGCTTCTGCAGACTCTGCAGGAGGCCGAGGGGGAGGCGGCGGCGGCCGGGGCGGGCGAGGCGGCGGCGGCAGATTCCGGGTCCCCGGGTGCCCCGGCGTCTCCCTCCGAGACCGCGGCCGAGGAGCCCACGGGCCTCCGCTTCTCGCCCGAGCAGGTGGCGTGTGTGTGCGAGGCGCTGCTGCAGGCTGGCCACGCCGGCCGCTTGAGCCGCTTCCTGGGCGCGCTGCCCCCGGCCGAGCGCCTACGTGGCAGCGATCCGGTGCTGCGCGCGCGGGCCCTAGTGGCCTTTCAGCGGGGTGAATACGCCGAGCTCTACCGGCTCCTAGAGAGCCGCCCTTTCCCCGCCGCCCACCACGCCTTCCTGCAGGACCTCTACCTGCGCGCGCGCTACCACGAGGCCGAGCGGGCCCGAGGCCGTGCCCTGGGCGCGGTGGACAAGTACCGGCTGCGCAAGAAGTTCCCTCTGCCCAAGACCATCTGGGACGGCGAGGAGACCGTCTACTGCTTCAAGGAGCGCTCGCGCGCGGCGCTCAAGGCCTGCTACCGCGGCAACCGCTATCCCACGCCAGACGAGAAGCGCCGCCTGGCCACGCTCACCGGCCTCTCGCTCACACAGGTCAGCAACTGGTTCAAGAACCGGCGACAGCGCGACCGAACTGGGACCGGCGGCGGAGCGCCCTGCAAAAGGTGAGGGGACCGGCCTTCCTCGGTTCCCGCTGGAGTCTGCGCGCCTGACCCTTGGTACCCCTCGGCGTTGGCGAGCGCACGGGCTGAGCGCAGAGAGATCAGGCACACCCTGGGTTCTCTGGGCATCACTGCCCCAGGGGGCTGAGGTTCTGGCTCTGTTTCTAGGTTGGGGCTGCAGTTCAGGGAGCAATGAGAAAAGGGAGGAGGGTCCCCTAGAGGGGTGATGGTAAGGGTAAGGAGGCCTTTGTCTAAGGCACCTAGGGCGAGGACCTCTGCAACCCTTGGTGACCATTACTTACGCCCACCCCCACGCCCCCTCCGGCCCAAACAGCATGGTCTGTTGCCTGCCTTTGTTGTGAAACGTGAACCTTCTCCGGCTCCGGTTTCTCTTGTAACCCAAGCCCTTCTCCTCCCACCCCAGCGCGAGGCCTCTAGTTCTGGTCTCTGACGCCCCAGGGGAGGAAAGGGGGAAGAACTGGAGTAAAGGCTGCTGCCTCGCTCTGCTGCCACGCGCCTGCTGACCCAGGGGACTTGGGGCGGACTGGGTGCTCGGCTGCAAGCCAAAGGAATAGGAAAAGCTTCCCTCCGGCTTTACATTCCCGCTATGCTGTCAACCCCAGCAGGGTTTGTGGAGGCTCTGGGATCCGTGCGGGTCCTCTGAAGGGCTCAAAGAGTTAACAGGAGTTTGGGTTGCCTCTGCCTCTAGGGCAAAGCAGCCTTCAGACCTGAGACTTAACCCTTTTTCCTGCCAGTGAGTCCGATGGGAACCCCACTACTGAGGATGAGTCCGAGTCCAGCCGAAGTCCGGAGGACCTGGAGAGGAGTGTGGCCCCCGTAGCTGCTGAGGCCCCCACCCAGAATTCTATCTTTCTAGCGGGGGCCACCCCTCCTGCGACGTGCCCCGCCTCCTCCTCTATCCTAGTGAATGGCAGTTTCCTGGCAGCCAGCAGCCCCCCAGCAGTGCTCCTCAATGGCAGCCCAGTCATCATCAATAGCTTGGCTCTAGGAGAGGCTTCCAGCCTGGGGCCACTGCTGCTCACAGGAGGCGGGGGCGCGCCACCACCACAACCCAGCCCCCAGGGAGCCAATGAGGCCAAGACTTCCCTTGTCCTGGACCCTCAGACAGGAGAGGTTAGATTGGAAGAGGCTTCGTCTGAGGCTCCTGAGACCAAAGGGGTTCAGGGAGCTGTTCCTGGGACAGCTGGCGAGGAAGTCCCAGGGACCCTGCCCCAAGTAGTCCCTGGTCCCCCACCCACCTCCACCTTCTCTCTGACCCCAGGAGCTGTGTCCTCAGTGGCTGCTCCGCAGGTTGTACCACTCTCCCCCTCTTCTGGGTACCCAACAGGCCTAAGCCCCACCTCCCCACTGCTGAACTTGCCTCAGGTGGTACCCACTTCCCAGGTGGTGACCCTGCCTCAGGCTGTGGGGCCACTCCAGCTGTTGGCAGCTGGGCCAGGCAGCCCTGTGAAGGTGGCAGCTCCAGCGGGGCCTGGTAATGTGCACCTGATAAACTCTGGTGTGGGAGTGACTGCACTGCAACTTCCCTCAGCCGCCACCCCAGGTACCCTCCTGCTTTCCTCGGGCCTGCTGGGCTGGGGGAGCCCGTGTTCTGCTTCTGGTACATCTCTTGGGGTTAAGCCTACTGGTTCCTCTGCCTGCTCTCCAGCATCTTGCCCTCCATCTCTTCTCTCCACAGGAAACTTCCTCCTGGCCAACCCTGTGTCTGGCAGCCCTATTGTCACTGGGGTAGCTGTGCAACAGGGCAAGATCATCCTTACTGCTACCTTTCCCACCAGCATGCTCGTTTCCCAAGTCCTGCCACCTGCCCCCAGCCTAGCCCTGCCCCTGAAGCAAGAGCCAGCCATCACAGTGCCTGAAGGAGCCCTCCCAGTGACCCCCAGCCCCACCCTCCCTGAGGGTCACACTCTGGGGCCAATCTCTACTCAGCCACTGCCACCTGCTCCTGCTGTCACCTCTGCCACCAGCCTGCCTTTCTCCCCGGACTCCTCTGGCCTGCTGCCTAGCTTCCCAGCACCCCTGCCTGAGGGTCTGATGTTGTCACCTGCAGCTGTGCCAGTCTGGCCAGCAGGGCTGGAACTGAGCACAGGGGTGGAGGGGCTGGGGACACAGGCCACCCACACTGTGCTGAGATTGCCAGACCCTGACTCCCAGGGGCTGCTCCTGGGGACCACAGCAGGGACTGAGGTTGATGAGGGGCCAGAAGCTGAGGCCAAGGTCCTGACCCAGTTGCAGTCAGTGCCTGTGGAGGAGCCCTTGGAACTGTGATTGCTTGGACTTTTCACCTCTCCTGACAATGGTGCTCAAGGTGCTAGGACAGAAGGAGGAACCCTCAGTAAAGTGGCTGCAGTCTGAAGGTCCCACACTACAACCCTCCACGCTGGACGAGCTGCAAGCCCTGGAGAAGCCAGAGGAACCACCCCAGTCAGGGCACTGTCCCTTGCCTGATGGGAAGTCTTTTGTTACAGCCCTCTTTGCATGGGGCTCTAGGGGTCCTGACTAGGGCTTTGTCCTCTACTTGGTACTAGTTGAGGAAGGCCCTGCTAAGTGGCTGGTTTCCAGCCAGCACCCTCACCATAACACTATTAATAGGCCCACGGATACCTAGTGCTCCCAGAACTGCCTGAATCCCAGGGATGGGAGACCAGGGTGTGACCCAGAGAGCCCTTCTGCTGAGGAGGGTCTGATGGGTGCATGGGACCCTTCCCCTACTTCCCTTGACTTGAGCCCCAGGATCCAGTCCCAGACCAAAGATTTCCCCCTGCCCACTCGGGCAACCCTGGCCTCTTTGTCTAGTTTGTATCGTAAATCTTTATTTTTCTAGGACATGTTATGCCTCCATTTCAATTAAAGTCAAGTTAACAGACAACAGAGCCATTGGGGTAAGGGTCACCTGCCAAACAACCAGCCCAAGAAAGAACTAGACAACACGAAGCCTGAGGTTGTGGCTTGCTCTTTTTGTTTGGGTTCTTTTTGAGATGGGGTCATGTTCTATAGTCCAGGCTGGCCTCAAATCCTATCTTTCTGCCTCAACCTCCTAAATGTTGGAATTATAGACATGGGTCATCACATCCCAAGCCTGGATTTTCAAGGTAAAGGAGTTGAGTTCATACCTGTGGAACTCAAATTTCAGAAGCAAAGGGATTCTGGATACAGCATTGCTTCTCCCCTGCTCTTAAGGGTTCCACTTCATTTTAGGACAGCTAGAGTAGGGAAGTGTGCAATGAGAACAAATGGGGCTGAAGCAGGATTGATTCTGAGCTGCATTTCATCTGGGCACTATCCTTTAGAACAGGTGGGAAAGGCTAGTAAATACACTTCCTCTCTGGTGCTGGGGGTGGGAGGCTGGGCAGGGGACCCTCAGTAGTGGCAGCTGAGGCCCAAAGGAAACAAACATTGGGGGACCTGGGAGTTAAGCAAATGGCAGACCCAGCAGGGGCTGCCCCTCTCACTGGCAGTGAGGGGAGGGCAGTAAAGCCAGGGCCAAAGGCACTTGGACCCTGTCAGCCATCAGCTGGTAGAAGGGCTTAGGGGTATCCCCATCGTCGTCCTCACTGCTGGAGCTCTCCCGCTTCAGCTTCACAATGCGGTTGTGCTGGCGGCTGAACCTGCGTGCCTTAGTGCTGGGGACAGATGGAGGTTCCTCATTCTTGGCTCCTTGGTTCCTGCACAGCCCTCTGCCCCCAGCACTGACCAAACCTAAGTTTCAGGGAGCCAGAACACTCTTTGGTCCCATGGGGCCAATCTGTCTTTGGGGTGCCAGGTTCTGACACCTAAATTGGACCCTGCTGGGTGCTCTTCACAAACAGATTTCGACTAGTTTGGAAATGGCAAGAGGAAGCCCTTGAAGTTGGTGGAAGGGATAGAATTGGGGAAGCATGGCTAAGGCAAGAGAGAAAAGGCCAAGTGACAGGAAAATAACCGAGATGCTCTATGTGGCAAAGCTTAAATGGGAGGCAGCATGTCCAAGAACAGCAAAATTCATTCTCTTTCCAGCTGCAGGTGACACTACCTGTCACCTCCCAGGTCATAAAACGTGTGACCCAGGGGCCTGGAGATAATCTGTGAGTAAGCACTTGTTCTGGGCCGTGAGTTTGAGTTGCCAATATCCACATAAAGAGCTGAACCAAAAGCTTGCTGTCCAGGCATCCTGGCTGTAAAGGCCAGTTCCCCATTAAATGGGAGGCCTTACCTCAAGGCAACAAGGCAAAAAGCAAGAGAAAGACACCTGATATCCTGGTCTGGCCTCTGCATGCATGTGCATGCGTGCACATACCACACACGCATGTGCATGCAGCACACATATACAAAGAAAAGGAATCTGTGTTTCACAAGTCCTCAGCCCAGGAAAGCCCCAACCTGTTAGTAAAGTCATGAGGCTCTGAGTGAGGGATGAGAGTCACAGGTTGGGGCCCTTGGTTCCCCCCACACCCTCTGGAAGGTACTTCTCACCAGTATGGTCTCCTTTCCTCCAGAGTCATCTCTCGCCACAGTTGAGCCAGGACCTTAGTGGCAGCTGTGGATGCAGTCCCAGGACAGGCTCTGGGACAGGAAGGAGGAGGTCACAATGGCCACACCATGGTCCTTGGCCATCTTTCCTCTCCCACCAGACTTCCAGTGTCCCATTTCACCCTCTGAAGACACAGATTTCCCCAAAAGCAAATGACCTGTAGCCACCACTTCACAGGCTCTCCCTACGACCCACAAACCCGTTCTTCCAGCAAAGCTCAACCACCAGTGACAGGTCTAGGGCTGGCACCTGATCTAAGTCAACCCCAAGGATGTTTAGAGATGAGACTTCTAGGGCATCCGGCAGGACTGAGCCTGAACCTCCTGAGGACAACCTGCTACCAGTGTGGCCCAGCATGTTGGAGACGACAGCTCAGGAGAGAGGGGCAGGACTGATTCAGCCCAGAACCAAAGTTTTCTTGATGGTGACAGAAGGCCAATTAATTTCCTTTTCTCTGGTGTCTCAAGTTTGAGCTTGGGTCTGCTGCATGGCAGTGGGGCCACATGGTCTTAGGGTACACATGGGGATGGTAACCTCTTTATACCATTAAAACCCCGGGTGCCCTCACCCACCGGATGTAATGCTTCCGGTTCATCCTGCAGAACATGATGAAGCCATTAACACACTTTTTCTTCACCTGGCCAGGGCAGGCCTTTCTGCTCTCCTTGAGCTTCCCAGAGCCCTGGCTTGCTTGGACCTTCTTGGTCTTCTTGCCAGCTACTGGCAGGCCAGAAGACTGTCGGGTAGGTGTCCATGTGTAGTCTCTGTCCTCATCACTGGGGGTCTGTAAGCCCACAGGGTTGGCCTGCTGCAAGACAGAAGACTGAGCAAGGGAGAAGACCCCTGTCCTCCCGGGTGGATGGCCACCCCTCTCACCTCCTGTCCCCACAGGGACTCAGTGTCTGTGGACTCTGAACTGGAGCTGCAGCTAGACAGCACCTTGGTGTTCTCACTCAGCGACAGGTAGCAGTGGTCCAGTGAGACTGAGGACTGGAAGTTAGGTGGGGCTGTGGGTGTGTCCTGGACCTGATGAGGAAAACACTGACTATGGGATTCACAGAGCATCAGAAACAGTGCAGGTGAAACACGCTTGTCTGTATCCACACCCCTGGAAACTCAGGAACCTCAACTCAAAGGTCTCAAGCAGGGCCTCATGACATCAATTCACACATGAGGAAACAGACTAGAACAGGGACATAGGATGTCTCAGCTGGAGGATACAGGTGTCCCCTCCCACCTGCGTGGCCTCAGCACCAGTCCCTACTGACTGATTCTCCCTCCCTCCTGCTCCCTCCTGTGCTGAACTGGAGGAAAAAACAAAACTGGGTGACATCAGTGGAGTTTTTCTTCATGAACTCCAGAACATGAGGCCTGTGATGAGACTACCCACTGGAGTAAACTCCATGCTCGAAGAATTGAAATTTATTTGGCCATAAAAATTGGTACACTCCTGTAATCCAATCTCTCTGAAGGCTGAGGCAGGAGGATTGATTTTGAGGCCAGTCTAGGATCCAAGACCCCTGTGTCATGCACAGGGACACATTAAACAAGCACATACTAAGCATCGTGGCTCCTCCATGAGTGGTAAATCCCTGAAGGTGAGAGAAGTGTCCTGTCCCCACCCTGCTTGGGGAGTAGCTGCGATCTTAGCAGGCCTCTCTCAGGCTCCTCATGGGCAGCGGTAAGCTCAAAGGAGGATGGTGAGGACAGACTTGGTAATTCTTGGAAGGATGGAAGTGTGTGATGCTCATTAAAGGAGTCAAGCCAGGAAGATGGAACTTACCTTCTCTTGGGGGTCCTCCAGTTCACAGGCAGCAGGCAAAGGCTCCAAGAGACCTGTGAGCAGAGAACTAGAGGGACTAGGCACCTTTCTCACAGTACCCCTGGCTATCCCCAGTCCCCTTCTCTGATTTTCTCCCCTTTGGGATTTCCTAGCCCATGTCCAAGTCTCACTCACAGGCCAGCTGTGAGTGTGGCAATTTTCTGGAGCCTCCCCTTCACTACGTGGCCTAGTGGACCCTATGTTGGAGGAACTATGGGCCCTTCAAGGCCCTGTGAGAATCCACTGGGCCCATCTCAGACCCAAGTACTTGGTGGACAGGTGTCCCTATCTTTTATGAATGAATGAAGCTCCTCCCACTCTGGCAGCCCACCTTCAGTCAGAAAGTAGGTCTCGTCCTCCAGGACATGATCTGGCAGGATTTTGCTTGGGGAGCTGAAGAGGGAAGAGCTGAGTCCTAAGATCTCACTCAGGTAGTTCGTCTCATGCCAGGTATTGCTCTGGGAAGACTCCGAGGCCAGTGGGCTTCCTGAAAGGATCATGGCACTCAGGAGTGTGGTCAACCCCCAGTGCAGCAGCAGGTTTTGAGGGGATAGTGTCAGACACTGGGGAAAGAAGACTACCATTCAGAGTCGTGAAGGTAGAGGAAATTAAGAGGCACATTGCCTGGCAATACAGCAACAAAAAAGGAAAGATCATTGTTACAGTGTGTCAAAGCCAGCAGCCTGATTGTAGTAACCCATAGCTCTGTTTAAAAAGTTCTATAGTGGCTGGCTCATGAAAATAGGGATTGATTAGCAAAGTCTGGCATAGCAATCAGGGGGCAGAGTGATAATAAGCATAGTATGTTTGCTATCCCTGTGCCTAGCAGATCCCCAACCTTCTTCCTGCTTTTCTCTGCCATAGAAACCCTCTGGAGAGGAAGGTTCAGAAGGCTCACAGCCTACAAGAAGAGGAGTTGTAATCACCATTGGGGCTGTCTTCTGAGGTCCACGCAGGAAGCCAAGGGTCAGTGTCTGGGGTTTCTTTGTGTGTCTCACTGGAAGTACACAAGAATAGCTTCTGCCTGTGAGAGCTGGAGTCATAGGAAGACACATAGCCCCGGGATGAACTCAGCTGTGATTGTGGAGCTCACATGGGCCACTCCATGCAACCCCAGAGGATTTAATCAGTCTTTAGGGAAAATGAATTGGTAAGCAGATGCTGACACAGAGGGGATCCCACGGAGGAAGTGTTCCAGGGAAGACCAGAGGGCACATCGGAGAGGATAGTTTCCCATGTAAATCAGAGAGGCAGATGCTCCAAGTAGAGGGACCAGAGCAGCAAACTCAGAGCAGGTGGTGTGAAGACTGGAGAAGATTTGTGCTGCTCAGTGGAAGGTTCATGGTAAAGGCAAGAGAGGGCTGACATGGTGAGAGAGGTCACATTCTCCAATGCCAAGGAAGAGGTTTGGGCTGTATCTTGGATCAGCCCCACTGATACAGTCACGGTCTGTAGTAGAGAAGCCCTCAATGGATGAGAATAGGCTGGGATGGGGAAAGAGGCAAGAAGATCAATGGGTAACAATCCAGACCTTCATGGGAGTCTGCACCAGCCAGCACACAACTGGACCTAGGGTGCCATTTAGGGGACTCTGGCAGAGAATGTAAATCAATCTCTCACAC